CAGGTGACATTATTAAATATACGCATGATGGATAAAGCTAAAGTGAGTGCATTTCAATACACTTTTTAAGATGGTAACTTTTGAAAATAATTAGCTTTATGCTATGTTTTCATGTTGCATTCTTTAAGTCAAATAAGCAAGTTTCCAAGAGTTCTGAAAGACGAAGCGCTGCAATTGCTATTGCAAATCGGGAGATAAATAATAGACTACGACCTTCTAGTGAACCTACATATACCCTATATACTCCAATTACTGGTGATCAAAATATGGCTTCGACAAGTGTAGATGCTACAAAAAAGAAAAGAGGTCCAACTCATTTGAAAATGATTGCTGAAAATAACTATCAGATGATGGAGCTTGAATTCAATGAATTTGGGCAAGTAGTTGGCCGTAACTCTGATAAATTTGTCAGCATAGCCGGAGCCATAGTACAAGAATATGTGCCAGTTGTTATTAAAAATTGGCATTCAGTGGATGACAAGAAAAAATTTGAACTTTGGAATTTTATACAGGTACATTTATTTAATATGAAACGTACATACATTATTTGTTATACATTATTTGTTCAAAGCTTCACTGCCATTTTCGTTCAAAGCTTGACACCATTTTTTATATTTGTAATAAATATAGCAAAGATTCAATGTTAGTGACTGCCATCAAAAAATGACATTTCAATTTATGGGAACATATTAGAGGACATTCAAATTGAGATTGAGAAAAGAAATCAAACGTCAAGTACCATCTGCCATGAATAGAAAACGCGCTATTGCTCTTCTTAGATCGAAGAATATAAACTCTGAAGAAGCATGGGAAAAGTTTGTAGAAGATACTTTTTCTACTGATTTTCAAGTAAGTTATATTTTCATATTGACTTTAAACTTTGTAGGCAATTATTGTTGGTTTATATTTTTTTCCTTAATAGGAAAGAAGTTCTAAGTTCAGCAAAATGAGAACTAATAAGAAGCTTCTTCATACTACGGGTCGAAAGGGTTATTCACCATGGCTCACGATTTGGTACAATTACTAACTATTTATATTTTTTTATGTATCTTTATTGATTTTTTATACGTGTCTGTGATTGGGAAAATATTGTTATTGTAGAAAAGAAAGAATCCAAATATAAAAGGATTGAGAACGAGAGTATGGACTCATGGACATCTTCGAAAGGATGGAAAGCCAATAAATGAAGCGGTCGTCGAAACTTTGGTATGTGTATTGTATGTGTGTGTGTGGGGGGGGGAGGGGGGTTGTGTGTGTATCTACTTCTAGTGTAATATTTAAGTTTCATAAGTGCAGAGGAAGATAGAAGATTGTGCCGAGTCAATTTCTAATACACTGGCTGAAAATTCTATTCGAGATGATGCTATTTCTCGAATTTTAGGTCCCAAGCGTCATGGGCGAGTAAGGCGACTTGGACTTGGGGTTTCACCATCAAAAGTAGATGGAAATGCACAAAGCAGTGAG